ATGCACTTTTCTCATGAAGACAAGCCTTTTTTTACATGCAAATATAGATCGGTTATTTTTTTCAACGAAAAGAGATTTAGGTATATAGAGAATTGTAGGTACCCAAAAATACAAAGAAAGTAGGAAGTTCCGAAACGGTTTCTTCCAATTATAGTCAACGAAGGCGGTGGAGCAATAAGGAGTGAAAATGATATCGGTATTTTTTGAGTGCATATAATCCAAAAAAACACCAAGGTTTACCTTGATTAAAGGTTTCAACAAAATAAACTTTCATTATCAAGTGTGCTTGTTATCTTCATGAAATCGAAAGGTAGAAGGTGCGAGCTCTATATCAGGCTATAAAAGTATTGTCCTGATGAAATGGGAAATGGACACAACTGCTTTTTCTTAGGAGGCTGTATTTTTTAACCATTATATATTTTTATTATGAAAATATCTTTCGGTTCAATTTCCTCAGTTTAGAGAGCTATTATTTTAAGAAAACTGAATTTCCTTCCTTTTGATTTTTTTGATTTTGATCTGCTATCGATTTGAACAACTTAAGACGGATAAAAGATTTTCTCGAAAAGTAAATGATTGTTTCCGCACGCAATGTTGTGTGTTTTTGTTCTCGACTGTTCAAGATGCTATAATCGTTTGAATATTTACACGGTCCATTTCCTGCGTAAATGCCCTTCGTTTCAGGCGCGAATTATCCGAGAACTAACTGACCAAAAACCTCAGTTCCAACTGAATTGGGGTTTATATTTGGTTTTACTGGATCAATAACTAATCCCGACAATCTACTGTGGTAAAAGTCCTGTGGCACTGGAAAGGGAAACAGATCACTTACAAAACAGAGACTCTGAGGCTAAGGAGGATTAACAAGGGCAAATGAACTCACGTTATTTAGCCAATAAGTCAGTGGTGGACTATGATTTTAGATAAGAGAGGTCGAACAAATGAACGCCGAAGGAAGATTCTGAGGGGGGCGGGGGGGGTTTAAGGTATACTCCACCCGAAAAGTTTTGAAATTCTAGTCCTCAAAAATGCTTTTTACACTATCCTGAAGGTCTGTTGGTCTGTTGTTACAAATTTTTATTAAAAAGTGCGACAACTGTTATTACAAAAAGTGACAGGTATACAAAGGGCGACAATTTTATTACAAAGTGCTACAGAACACCGTTGTCTTGAGTGACAACTGTTGTCGCTTCAGGTCTTCCACAGTGTGCTCATGCACCCACTCCAACAGAGAAGGGTGATTGATGAGATTGATTGATTTCAGTAGATTTCCGATCAACGCAGCTATCTCTTCTCTCAGATGTATTCCGTCAATGCTGAAGTTTTTCGAGCACAAAATTCTCCTGTAAATTTCGCATCCATTCCGGACGGTCTACCAGAACCTTTGGTTTTCATTGTTTCGTTATATTATATATATCATTTGCTTATCGATGAGGTAAAATATGTTGGGCGGGACATTCATCATCTATGTCAGCAACTTGTGGATGTTTTTCCTTTAGTGTTTCTAATAATGACTGTTAAATTTTTGTTTTAAATATTTCATTCTATAAAAATGCTTAAACCTTGATTCGATCTCTTTAGAGTTACCCTCTTCATAGAACTTTAAATTCAGGATATAAAGAGGTGTGCAGGCGAGCAGATGTTTTTCAAGTGGCAGTTCCTGTCGAGTGGTATTGATGTCCTTGTTTGTTATAATTTTAGACAGTAGTTTGGCTATTTCTTTTTGCAAAACATGAACTTTTCCGCTATTTTCGCTGTGGCTAGATCAGCGTTTTTTCTGAACAAAAGTGAATCATCTTCCAGAATACCGGCAAGCATCAATGATAGCTGGCTGTAAAGAATTTAATTAAGCCAATCAGTAAATGAGAAATATTTTGTATGAATAATGATTCGTTTTAACCCCACAGCTTCCGTTTTCCATGGTTAAAGAAATTAATAGCAGGTGTTAATGTCGAGTTTTATAGGCAACCATGTCAAGTTTATCTCATCAATTTTAGATCCACTCTAAAAACAGTTGGACTGCCATCAAGTTACACCGAGAAATAACTTTAAGGTAAGATTAACACAGAACTTTCTTTTTTAGAAGAGTAAATGAAACGTTTTTTTTATCGCCAAAAGTGTCCTTTAGGTTCGCTTTACACTTTTTGTGCTGAAATGGGCTGCGAACTTTTAATCAGTTGAGAAAACTAAACAACTGTTCCAGTGAATTGGACTGTTTTTAAAAGCCAAAATCGACGCTTAAGCCCTTTGGCAATATTCCTTTTCCATATCTCTCCCGAGACAACCTCATAGATCAATCCGCCTTAATTCAGACGAAATAATTTTATTTAAACTCAAGATTTCTTCACTGTTAAACATAAAATTAGTAAACAAATCCCTTCCCTAAACTTTCAACGCAAAATTTTCTTGCACCTAACATAGACTTGTTTTCTTTCCAACGGCCTCTCCATGTGATCCCTGTTAACCAAATATATAGTATGATGAAATATATGATTTTATT